ATATTGAAAATAAATCAATAGCGATCATATCGTTCCTTAAAAATGTTGTATTTATGCAAACAAATATTATTTTAAAAAAATCTTCACATATGTTCTTTTAGATATCAGGAATTATCCATTTGATAAAAAAAACGTGCAGTACGGGACTTTCGAGTCCTTGCGTACGTTTTCAGTTTCATGCTCAGATGAAGCGACAGATGATGTTGGTGCATCTTTGCTACACACATAATTGTATTTATGTAACTAATTATTTGTTATCATATTTATTTGGAAAACTTACAAGATAGAAAATGTCAGAATTACGTCTTGGTACCCATTTAACATGGCACTCTGTTAAGCATGCTACTTATTTTCGCACTTTTCTGATGCATCAATATTTTATATACACTTTATTTATTTTACAACAATATTATAAAACAAGTTATTACAACTTATATCAATCTCTCTTTTTGCCCGGATGTTAGCGTGCTGGGGGTCCTAATGATGTAGGAAACCGGAGTACTAGGAAAAAACCCACGTGTTCGAGCAGGTGAACCCAAGCATTTACATGTCCGATCGAGGAATCGAAATCCCGGCTGTCTTGGTGAAAGGCAAGTGCGATATCCAGTAATATTTTGCATCGTGTTACCTTAAAACAATTGTTTTCCCGTTGAAAACATGTACCATATACATTTCAACATATATACAGATAACCGTCTTTACTAGTGAAGTATATATATGTTATTCAACAGGAAATCAATAAATATACGTTTGTATATCACGGTATTCAGCGACATATAGATACAGGAAAATAGCTGTTATGTATTCTAGTATTTTAGTTTTTCTATTTATATGTTTTAATCGCTTAACAATATTCTTATTACTATATATTGAGCAATCTCTGCGTCTCCATGCACCTCAAACCCCCACCTTGTTGATTTATAGGAAAAAAGTTGTTTGCACCTCGATCATTAATATAAAGCCAACTTTAAGTATTTGAGCTTCGACATGAAGTGTACAATCTATGCATAAAGGAGCCACGCTATGCTACATTTAATATCATTAATAACTGCCGAGTTGATTTCGTAACGAGTTCAAGATTTTGGAATAAATATCAGCTTTTCTATAGCCACTCACATTTGGTTCACACTTTCGTAAGAATCAACGATATATGTTGAACCTCATATCACAGGTAGCATTTATTGGAGGTGCACAATTTTGTTGCAAATAAATATAAAGGCCATAACTGTAAGTTATGAAATGTTACAAAAATGGGAACACACAATTTACATAACTTAAGTATTTTGGACAGGAGGAGCCAAAGGCCGAATCATTTTTGTAATTGTCCGAAACCTTGTTTCATGAAACCCAACAAATTACTACACTGAGTGACGTAGATAGGTGCATCTGTATGGAACATATGCTTTACGTATAGTCACAATAGTGATAAAATCAGAGTAAATGGTTGCCGGACTGGGTAGCTAGACATCATTGACATAATGATAAAAATATAAAGAAAAATTGATGAACCTTTAAAGAAATAAAAGTACTTGGGAGGTACCCAGAAGCTCTTGTCAATTTTTCTTTATATTCTATTTCTGATTATATCATTATAATAAATAAAGTTTATATGACATATAAAGATCATTTTTTGAGAAACAAATAGAAACTTTTAATTGTGTTCCGTATTGAAAATGTTTTTCTAAAACGTTTAAATAAAATGTCACCAGACGATCACTAGCTCATTTGTTAACGTTACCCAATTTGCTTTCTTACATGCTTAAACATGTATGGGCATTCGATGAGCACAAGCAGTTTGTATTTTAAGGTTTTACGTCTTGCATCAGAGATGACGACGGTTGACTGAGGATATATCACTGAAAAGAAGTAATTTGAAGTGAAAAAGGGACAGAAATAATAACAAAGTATTGCATTGGGTAAAGCAGATGAATCTTGGTGTCTTGACTATCCCTTATACAGCAGACGGAGAAGAAACATTATATTCTACAGTGGTGAGGAAGAGAAAGAGTATTCCTATTTCATAACATGCAATGGGATACATCAGCAGCACTTATCTTTAATCGAATCCTGTTTTACGGTTTAACACCTGTGTATCGTCAATGGAGGGAGAAATAACACTTGCATTGACTAACGTAGTTTCTATATATTTTTAAGTGTGATATACAATTATACGATTTGGTTTTATCTTTCACACAGTGATAAATAATCAGAAAAAAGTATTCACTTGATTAAGATGAAGATGGCGTTGAGATAAAATAATAGCTACTTGCGGATATCAGATACACATACATGTACAACAGTTAGTTATCTACACAGTTAACAGATTGTTTTTTTTTCTGTAAGAAAATGTTGTGAGATATTAACAAAAATCAATGAAACTTCGTTACATAGCCCATTAAATTTGGCATGCTGCCTTGTTGTCAAGCATGACGTCATTAAATATTGCACTGATGAGTATGCCTCTACTGCCCGCAGTTTTGTAATGTACTTAAACATCACGCTTATGTGTTTTCAAGCATTTACAAAAACTTAACATGTACCTGTTATTTATAATGTATAAGGAAGAATAAACCGACATTTATACATAGGAAACAAAATGTGGTCTAAATAACCTACTTCGTCTTGTTTACAAAGATATTAAAAGCTTTTTTATCGTTTTAAATGAGACTGAATCGGATGCAGGGAAATATTCAAGTGGGAAGTTTATCTCCGAAATTAAAATCGTGAGCACTTATGTCAGCTATCATATGGTTTATCGTGCATGAATGTTGACTGTGTGGTGATTACTCGTCTTGTGACTGATAGTGACTTATTCTGGGTAACTGGAGATTTAATTTCCGATTACTGGGAACTACGGTCGGTTAGAAGCCCACTTAGGGCTCCAATTTGGTTGGGTTGGGTTTGATGCTAGGTATTTTCTGCTTCTGGGAAATAATAATTTTTAAACAATCTAATGTAAGAATGAGATGGCTAATTCTGCTTCATAGCAAAAATGTAAATGTATTTCTCTAATATTTATGGTATCACCGTTTTAGTTTATGCACAAAAATGTAGGTACTGATCGCAACGGTGATACGTAAATATAAATTGTGCATTAAGTAAAGCTGTGTTACATTGGTATTTACAAACTGATGGATTGTATTGATGATATTTAAGCTGGTGGTGTGTATTGATATATAATAAAAGTTTCAACTCAGTGATAGTGTATAACTTCACATGATACTGGTAAACTCTGCTGGTGTATTTCCTTGATAACAATGGTTATATCTTTTGAGTAGCGGTACGGTTCATAGTACATTTACGTGACTGATTTTTTTTATTTGAAATTAAACCGCTATCCTCTAAATTTTCAAACTCAAGCATAAAGGGTGTGTACGCCCTAACCCTTCTGTTCCAACCAACTCATCACAAATAAGTCATAGAAGTACTAAACAGATGTATGATGCATTGCGATTAATTTCTAGCAAACTGTATCTTTTACCAAAATTTATAAGTGCAGTCACCTGTGTGTGTCTATACTATCTTCATCTATCTAGAAAACCTGTTAACATGGTGTTTACTATGTTCCATGAAAGAGTAATGTTGTATGACCATGCATTTGAACGTGAAAGGTGATTTATGTGGGAATTCCCTGCATATTCCAGCCTTTTCTTCTGTGTCTTCCTCTCATGGAACATTGGATGAACCAAACTTTATCTGCTTCCCTCATTACAATACATTAAATCTTTGTTTGATTTTACCCGTGCAGTTTTGGAGAAATAATAAGCCTGCTGTATCCCTCTGCATGATCGTAAAAAGCGACTTATGTGGACCCCCTGCAGAATCGGGGATGGTTTCTTCATTTTTCTGAGAAACCAAAATATATCTACTACACAAATGCTACACTCAGGATATTTTCGCTTCCTTTCTTCCCGTCTTATGTCTTTCTATCTACTCTCTTTTCACGGCGGTGTCTCCCTAGCCAACCAACCGACCCTTGCTTTTACGAAACAATCAATCTGATGTAAAAAGACGTGTAATATATATACATTAAGGCTACAAGGTACCGTTAGACTGTTTTTTTCTGGATGTATAAACTTAGTATTGTGCTCAATTTCCTTGTCATGATATAATTTTAACTGTACAATAAAATTGCATTTTTCGTCATAAACACTTTTCATTTTGTGTAGAATGGAAGCCCACTGTCTCCTCAACGTCAGATCATTACGACATGTTTGATTGTGGTAAATGAAGAAATACGTACTTTATACCTTGGAACTTTCGCCCAACGCAGGTTAACTCAATATCTGTCAGAGTAAAATTCTTTGTAATCATAAATTCCCGGTATACAGTATCATAACAACATGTACATGTACTATTTCCCAGTATATAAATAACATGGTATGTACTATTGGTCAATTGAATGTTATGTTTCCATACGTGATGAAACATGATATTCACCGTTATTTAAGTGACGTCTAAAAACGTTTTTGATTAGAATAAAATGATAAATATGTGCTTTCTAGATTTTGATATCAATAACAAAATATTCTTTGAATCAAATATTTTTGAAGAAAACTAATCCATTTTCCGGAGGTTAGTTATTACATTTGACGATTTATTGTGTTAACACCGTATTGCTGGAGTGAAAACCGTTAATAGTGCGTACCTTATTATATGATAAGTGGTAATTACGAGAAGTGTATTCCAGGTGAACACTATGTCCTACTGGTACATATGTCATCAACACGAGATAATTACATTGATGTCTGAATAAAAACACAGCATTGCAAAATTACAACATTTAACATATTACCCATACCAGCAATCAGCTAATGTGGGAAGCAGAAACACAAATAATAAAAAAGGGCTGAAGCGGTTGTAGTGTTTTTTTTGTAATATGTATTTGTCTTATTCAACAGTAAGTTAATAAAATGTAACAAGATAATATGATTATAATTTTAAAAACAATATATCTAAACATAGCCATCACTCTATTAGAATACCGTAAACTATCTTACCTTTTACAAGCCGGAAGGCATGAGACATATACTGCTTGAGATCAAACGACGTGTGTGTGGATAAACATAGAGTGTCTTATCGTTTTATCTGCTGATAGTGCAGCGACACGAATTGAGTATGTTCCTTGTGCTCTTATCGACATTCGGCTATATTTTTTAATCGACAAGCTGTCAACTTAATATTATAATGATACGCAAAGAACATACAAACGTGGTAATACTAATATCAAATATATATAATACCATACTATTAATATGGCACAAATAATTAGGTGTATAATGCAAATTTGCTGGTTTAGGAGTAACATACAAATACAAAGAACATATATCGGTACCAGTGTTAATATAATTCTCTTACAAGTTGATAGTATTGTTTCGTTTCTAAAATATGTAAAAGGATTAATGTTAAAGGTTATAAAATAGGATGTCTACTAATATAGCGTCAAATCTAAAAGAATATCCCCCACAACGTCAATAATAAGCTGAATACTAACGTGTAACTGTTACATCGGTATTAGGTAGATGGAGTTCAGGTTTAATAAAGAAATATTGATGAATGCCATAATCATTTTTGGTAATATATCAACTCTTTACATGAAACTAATGTTTTAACACTCTGTGTTCGTAATTATCATGCCTTTATCAATACTAATATGTACGAGAAATGTTCATGTGTATTTTATACATTTGTATTACATTAACTATTGATATCTTTTTCCGTTGTTGCTAGCATTGCTAATATAAGTTCGATATTTATCCGTGAATGTTATATTCAGCTTTTCTGTAATCGGTTAGTATTGTATGGTTAAAAACTCATTTTGGTGACTAAATAAAACTAATAATCTAAATAGAGTTGAGAACAATGACGCAGTTTCAATGTGTCAGTCTGGAGATAACAGCAGTAATCTTTCTCTTAATGTGGAGATATTAAAAAGATCCAAGAGATGTATTTTATCGTTGCATCTATTCAAAAAGGTATTTGCAATGACATAACACGTGTAAACCCTTTTAGACGATCATCCCCTATTCAGTCCCGACACTCAAGATTAAAAGAAAATATTGTCAGATGTTGGATAACGAAATGATATATGTTTTACTTGGAAGTATCAGTGGTGCTTTGTTTTCGTCAGACACATACAATATCGTTAAATGACACACAGGGCTTTATACCAAAGCGATTTAAGATAAGTTGAAAAACAACTGATGCATATACACATTCCTGTCCCTTGAAACGATACGACAGATAAACGATACAAAAAGGACACATATTCGTTAATATATGAAATTTCCGATTCATTATATACCCAAATAACAATTGGAAGCCATATTCAACAAACATTGCTATGTAAGTTATGCAACAACGCAAAACGTAACGTAAGAGTTAAACGTCAATCCTATTTGGCTGTATCTGCTCTCCTGTAGTATTGGATGGTTATTATAACAGAACATATTATAACATTATATCTCAGCAGGAACTGGAAATTCAGAATGAAAAAGGGGCGCATGCAGGGAAAAACTTTTACTCACTTTATTGAATTACACATTCTTGTATCTGTATAATATTATATTGAGATGAAACATTGTCAGTCGACACTGGATGAATTATCAGTA